TGTTATCCCAGCTAGTCTTAGATTAAATATCCTGCAGAGCTCCATGACAGCCCTTTAGCTTCTCATGCTGGTATTCGAAAAAACTATCCAACGCGTACGCGAGGCAGTCTACTTTCCTGAACTGCAAAAGTTAACAAGGGCGTATGTCCAGTCCTGCCCAACATGTCAAGCAGTTAATTATATTAATTTCCGCCCGGCCGGGTTTCTAAATAGTATTAAATCCGAATTTCCAAATGAAATAATTGGCATCGATTTATTGGGCCCTTTCCCAAAAAGTCAGTTAAATAAAAGTCGCTATCTCCTTGTTATGGTTGATCATTTTAGTAAATGGACCGAAATTGTTCCCTTAAAAACGAGCCTCCGCGAAATTAGTTACTGATTCTATTTTAAATAAATATATTTTAAAATACGGGGCGCCCCTAAAAGTTATATCGGATAATGGTCCTCAATTTGTAAGTAATATATTTGAAGACATGTGCCAAAAACTGGGCATACGTCATTTAAAAATGGTCCCGTATCGGCCGCAATCAAATATAGCGGAACGGGTCAATGAAATATAGTGAAAATTATCCGTAGTTATGTTAAAAATTTTCATAAAAGCTGGGATAACTATGTCAATGAATTTGCTTTCGCCCTTAGGACCGCAAAACATGATACAACGGGCAAAACTCCTGCTGAGTTATTTCTAGGCAGAAAGATTATAACGCCGTTAGATAAATTATTTTATGTGCAACAAAGAGCCCCAGAATTTAAAATGGGTGATATAGAAAAACTAATTAAGGAAGCAAAAAAGAATACGGAAGTAGCACAAAGAAAACAGAAGCTCTATTATGATTGAAACGACGGGGAGTAACTTATAAAGTAGGGGATGAAGTTTTAAAAATTAAGCATTCACTTTCTTCAGCACCAGAAGATAAAACTGCCAAATTTTTTCCACGATTTGAAGGACCATATGTTATAGAAAAAATAACTCACGCTGTAGTAGTGTTAAAAGCCAAGAAATGGTGAAACCTGCTTCCGCAAACATTGATCAAATCAAAACCCTACTTTGATCGTAATAAAATGCAAATATTTTCAGATCTTTTGCAGGATCCGCGCAGCAGACACCGCAGGCACAAGTCCAGAGGTGGAAAAACGACAAGTACAAGGGCAAGCCATTAAGAGGCAGGAGCAAGTGAAAAGAAAATTTCCCCGCGGGAAAATTGAAGGTAGCAAGAAAAAGAAGCCGTTCCACCGTCCAGAAAAGAGAGTTCACGAACACCCCCAGAATGAAGAAGGGAGAAGGACGACGTATGTGAAGAGAACCAGGAGAAATGACGGGAACTATAACCCGGCTCTAAAACGGAAGATCTACTCATCCGAGAGGACTCTCCGCAGCAAATGTCGCCGAACTGCGGAAGGGCCATCAGCGGCGGAGGAGAAGTTACAAGGAAAATTTGAACGGTGAAACTGGTGAAAAAAGGAAGCTTCCAGAGGGAGGCACTGAAGGGCGAGCCCGTACAAGAAGGAGGATAAATCAAACAACTATCTGCAATACCTTTAAGGACTGGGCCCAGAAAAGGATGTCCGAATATCACAAAGATAAGTAAAATTTTATATTGCTTTGCAAACATTAAGTTAATCTTTCATTCTTACTGCAGCCCACCAGCGGCCGAGCGGTAAATTCGCTGAACACTGGTAGTTCCGTCCGAGGTTCGAATCCCGCGAACGGGCTGGCTGCATGGGCGTTTTCTTGGTTTCCCCATGTGTAACGTGTATACGAGCCAGTTTCCCTTAGAAAGTCCTCCACGAAGGCATCCCTCCCCTTAGGCAGATAGCCCTTGAGGCTTTGCCATAATCACACACACACACACATTCTTACTGCAAGTGGCAGATTTCAAGAAGTTTTACCTCATGCGAGGTCTACCTTTATCGCCAAAAGGGCGAGAAATGAGTTGTTACCGATTTTGGTTTTATGTTTTTCAATTACTCGCGAGTAAAACTAAAGTTGATGTATAATAGCGTTGTGTAAAGACTTAAATATTGTAAAAATTATTGTATAAATTTTATTTAAAACATTCTAGCAAGAAAGAAGTTTTAGTCTGAAAGACTTTTTGAAATGTATTATTTCAATGTAAAAAGAATTGACACTTGCTTTGAAAAGAATAGAAGTTAACAATGTACTACTAATGTATGTTTTCAAATGTGTAAAATTAACGGCATGTTGATATGTTCTTATATACAATGTGAACTGTTATTTTAAATGTTAAGAAATACCGTGATATGGTAAAAGTGAATGTTAAAATTTTTTTTATTCGTGTGACTGTAAAAAGAATAAATCATGGTGAATATGTGTTAAAGGTTGAATGATGTAGTTAGGCTCTCTGACGCTACACTTCAGAGTTAAACACTTTCAGAATAGTACCTCAGGGTTTAGAGTTGAAATTAGGGTGTGTTAAGAGGTCTTGTTATGTTGAATTTTAACACGTTAGTGTTTTGATTGTAGGAGGAAGTGTGGAACACGTACACAGAAACACATTCGTGTTTGGTGTTCTTTTACAACACATGTCAGAGAGCACGGGGAGAGATAATTAAAATAGTCATGAATGAAATAAGAATGTTAAGTAAAATATAATTATACATGTTACTTGCCATTTCATTGTGTAACATTTCATTAAACTAGTTTTTCCTTCCAGATCTCTGGAAGGAACCAGATTTGAATAAGAGCTCCTGTTTGGATGCAGTACAGATGAAAAAAAATTGTGTATCCTGGGAGCTGCTATTGTAAAAACAAATTTCTTTCTTTTAAATTTCTAGTTTCTAGCGAAAATTTTGTAAAAGATTGGCCTCGCGTTAGATTCTAGAGCTAAAAGTTTTCAACAAGGTCGTTTTAGACCTCAGTTTCAAACTAATTAACTCTGGCGGGAAGTATGTAAGGATCTTAAGTTTTACTAACGTTTTATTTATTTTAAATCTTTACTATCACTTCTTATTTTCTACTTCCGGCCAGAATTATAAGCGTTAAGGTTTTTATGCAAAGTTTGTCTGGCGAACGCCAAGTATTTAAGTTGTGGCTTTTTGCCAAGCGAGAGAGAGGAAGCAGTGAGTCGAAGCAGGCCGCTTACCTTAGAAGTTACGCAGTTGCTGTTTGCCTTCCAGGCCAGAGGTTTTAATCCTCTTGATAAATTTAAACGTATTGTAGTGTTCACAGTTCTCTGTACTACATACGCTTCCTGTTATTATAAGGCCAATCTTCCACGTTTATTATTCTAAAGTTAAATTAGAGTTTAGTTTTATTTTTATACTTTTACGTTTTGACCCCAAGTAGCGGGTCGGTGTATTCCGAAGTACGGAAGTCATTGTAAATAGAGAAAAATAAAGGGTTTTGTATACCCTTCTTGTGTATCCTGTTTACTTCCCACAGTTTTGAACATAGCTTTAGTAAGCTCTCTGTTCCGAGTCAGGTCCTTGTATGTTCCCGAAGAAGGTTAGAAGGAACATTGAACCTGATAGTCTTAAATCCAGAGCTTTGCATCAGCGTTGGAAGCTTCATAGCTGTTGAATCATATATATATATTACGGTGAAACACCGAAGTCTTAAGAATGTCGACTTTCACCGTTGAATGTCAACATTCACATAGTCGCTTGCAGTGGCGTAGCGAGGGGGACAAGGGGGTGTATGATGCCCCGAGCGCCGCTCGCAGAGGGGCGCAAATGGTCTCCAAACAAGATTTTCATCATATCACTGTGTTTTTTTTGGGAGAGGGGGGGCCACCAAAAAGGTATTTTGCCCCGGGCGTCAGTTATGCTTGCTACGCCACTGGTCGCTTGGTGTATGTCCGAAATATTTTCTAAATACTCTTATTTCTGACTTACACCGATGAATGTCGACATTCACCATGTACTAATGTTGAATGTTGAACATATAAGAATATTATATTTCCTTCTCCGTAATTCATTCGCGAAAAAACGCACTTGAGACTCAGAATAAGAACTTAAGAACATAAGAACTTAAAACACACAGGACATTCAAAATGAGAAAGGAAAATAATAGAAGTTATAAACTTACCAAATTATGTGAGTCAAATCTTATTTATTGCAACAACTTAAACTATTATGACACTTTGAATTGCACAAGAGGCCCTTCCTTGCTTTTACAACTGCATTTATTTGTGGAATACTTCCTTTTGGAATGGCAGCGTGTACATACTCCTCCTCTTTTCGACCTACACCAGAGCATATTTGTGATTGTCGACATACACCCGGTGAGGGTCCGAATGTACAAGAATGTAAAGAAATATTCGATCTTTCACCGACGTATTTGGTGAATGTTGACATTCTCCGGTGAAAGTCGATATTCTCCAATTTCGGTCTTTCACGGTAATATATGTTTATATATATATATAAATTAAAAAGGAAAAGTCGGAGCTATGAAAAATTATTATTTCTCTTTATGAAGGCTCTAACCAATTTCTTCTCCAGGAAAGAAGTAACCAAAAGGAGTATATTTAAAATTAAAAGAAACTTCAAATACGTAAACTAAACTGAAAATAATACAAAATAAAATATAAAAACTGAAAACCATGTATTAATCTCCTCTGTTTAACTCTTCAAACAGAACTTGTCAAGGAAAAAAATGTTTTGAAGCCTTAAACCTAGTTGATTAATGAGTTCCAAATGTACGTTTCGTTCTTTGAATAATTTGAGACTCAAAACCGTTTTATTAGAATCAAATCTTCACTTTAAAGCAACATTTAACTTTAAAACAACATTTATTAAAAATGTCAAGGAAGCTTATTGAAGTCACAGAAGCGACAAATTATCGTGTCCTCACTGAATTTCTCAAGACAGTAAAAAGTACAATTCAATATTTTCTGATTTTTTACTAATACTTTTTAATTCTTACTGTAATTAAAAATATTTTGAAGCACATTTAATTACATAAAATATTTGAAAATTTAATATTAATCCAGTGCATATTATGTAGATAAGACATTAAGTATGAGATAAGATTACCATACCTATTATGAATCCAAAGCAGAAGGCAATGTCTGCTATAGCATACACGCAACCATAAACTGAAGTGTGTCTAATGTCAACTAAGTAACCTAACATAGGCATCATTGAAGAATCTACCATTCCTGAAACAAAGTAATGAAACGAAGTTAATAGCTTAGATTTCAATACTCACAGAGATTAAATAAGCTTATAAAATATTTTATACATAGGATGTTTCATAAAGTGCACTTAATTCTGCAGTATTTTTTATTTGAAGTTTGTCAGTATAGCGTTTATCAGTTTTGTTACCTGCTATCATTCCTATTAATTAAACATTTGTTGCTTATCGGTTTGGATACCATGGAGTCGTTTCTTAAGGAGCAACGCGTCGTAATCATGAAAATTTATTACAGAAACAGGGAGTGTTATGCAGAGATGATTTGTAAACTTCCCCCTAACTTCATGTTTATTTTGACTGAAATAGATATCGTGAATATGTGGTTTCAGCGCGAGCTACCAGCCAAATATCTAGAAAGACAACCTTACTTCATAAAAAATTTCTTGAGTGCATGATTTCACTTCATGGCAGCAACAAGGAATGGTTATGATGTCTTCTGATCTCACACCTTGTAGCTTCTTTTTAGGACCTTATGCCAAATCGAAGGCTTGCGTGAACAACCTCAAATAGTTCCCAAACCATTGAGAAAAATTCATTCGGGCACCGGAGAAATCAACAAAGACGTTTGTGAGATGATTGCCGTGAATTTCACTGAACTGCCTGCCAAAGAGGCGAATGTGGACGTACGTCAGATGTCGTTTATCAGTATTAAACTTTAATGTATTTATAAAGAAATAAAACAAACATTTTGAATCTTTAAACAGCTTTGATTGATTGTCTGCATTTCTAAAACCTGCGCAATTTATGAAACACCATTTATAAATAAACACAAGTTTTGGGCATATATATGAACTGCTTTGGGAAGCTTATCGTAAATATAGCATTACTATCATATGATTTAAAGTGGGGTACAGTTTTATTCCTTGTTTAATGTGAAAAAACATGAGTGTGCTATGAAAGGAACCACAGATGCAAATATAAGGCTATGCGTTTTATTGATCATGTCTTTTAATTATGCTGCTTGTGATAAAATCTCAGTTAATTTTAAGATTATGTTTTTGAAAAATATGCCTATTTTTAAATTTATTGCATTTTAACCTGTAAAATATTTATTTATTTCATCTAACTAGTTCTTTATGCCATCTGACCAATATATCATCTAAACAGTATCTTTACTATAATTCTCCCTTTCCGTTTTCCTGCCGGAATGCTAATTTTAGTTCGCGCGTATTCAGATGAAGTGGAAAGAAATAGTATTTAAGGGAAGATTTCGGATTGTTTAGACTTAGCTTGTTCCTCCTGCTGAAGACTACGTAACTAGTTGAAATTCTATGATAGCAGTTTGTCTTTGGCGTTGTTTTGGCCATTGTGCGTGTCACGCCGGTATAGGTTTAAGCAACTTGTGCGCTTTTATTTTTATGTAGCCTTTGGGCTAACTTAAGATTTACTTTAGTTTTAATTTGAATACCTTACTTTTGAGTTACTCCATAAATGCTGGCTGGTTTGTAAGCACAAGAAGTACCATCTGATAACTATTTGAGTTCTTAATAAAAGGGTTTCTTACATCCTTCTTACGTTTTCCGATTTCTTGCAAGGCATAGCGATAATTCGCTTTAGCCTTCTAGAGTCTCGACTTAGTGTATACTTCCCAAAAAGGTCAGACTCTATAAATTGATAATGCTTTAACATGACTTAGTTCTTCGGAACAATGTATGACTTTGATTTTACCTGGGACCTAAGAATGATTTCAACTAATAGAGTAATCTTGTGTTCCCTGATGAAGAGAAATATTTTATCTCTAAATACTTCCACTGTAATAAATTTATCTTTATTTTTCATTGTCAACTTGTAGAATCATTAGGTTATTTTGATGCTGGAGACGTAAAAAATGAGCAATGACCTCGTCGGGACTCGAACATGGACTTCTCGAACACGCGTCGAGTGTGCTAACCGTTACACATCGAAGGCAGGCAGAAAGGAGGGAGAAATTATTGTTCACTCGTTGTTTTCGAACCGTCTCGAGTGAGGTGATGTGCGTCCTGGCGGAGATACCACCGCTTTCGCTCGTTTATAAATTTTATTATGATTAAAATTGTTTGAGAAATAAAACTGTTGATTCGATTTCATATGATAATAATTATATGTGCTTTTCAAGGGCTTTCGACAATTTAGTTTCCATTTAATCCATCCGGGCAATAGATTTATCATTTCTTATTGTGATTATTTTCCAAATATAAGAGAGTTTGAAATCTACACTGATGGTTCGGGATTGGAGGGGTGCATGGGCTCGGATTTTGTGGTCTTTTATTTTGGTGTTGAAATTTATTATGAAAAGATCAAACTTGAGGTATTTAATTTCGTTTTTCAAGCTGAGCTCAGTGCCCCCCCTCTGTGCTTTAAAATGAATGAAAAAACAGAACTTACCAAATGAACATGATTTTATATTTTTTCTAACTCTATGTCTTCTCTCGAGGCGTTTGGAGCATATGATAGTGGTAATACTATCATTTATGATTTTAAAATATTATACTCTAATCTGATTGATAAACATAATATAACACTTGATTGGATAAAAGCACACATAGGTTACATGGGGAACGAGAGGGCTGATATCCTTGCCAAGGAAGCCGCTCTGGGTGATGGCTCGGGGACCGTCTGTGTCCAAGCTTCCAAAAGAATTGTTTTTAGAAACATTTATAAATATTACTTTTCTAAATGGATTGAGGAGTGGGACAATTCGAATACAAGAATTAATTATTAAACTAAATTGGATCTTGTTAAATATGCTAAAATATTACCTATAACTAATATTGATGTTAATCAGTTTCTCAGTGGCCACGGGCACTTCTCGGGCTATCTCGCCAGATTTAAATTACAACAAAATAACTTGTGTATAATTTGCGGTGAAACTGATGATGCGTGTCACTTCCTCGAGACTTGTTCACTTTTTGCTAACGACAAAAAACAACATTGAAACAATCAGAGAGTCAACATGGAAACAATCAAGAATTTGAAAAGTTCACTAACTTTAAGAAACTCTGTGAACATATAATTAGGGTTATAAACGGCGAATGTCTGCGGTGGGTGTATATGTTTGAGGTTTGTCCTTTGTCCTCGTTCTTCTTGGTGTTCTTCTAGGCTTTGCAACCATTTGAATTTATATATTGTGTTTTGTGTAGAATGTCGTTCTCCCTTATCATTATTTTAAATTTTGTATTAACAGCCATTTTCCTTGGTTAGCTATTTTGAGTTTCTCTCTTCTTTCCTGTTGTGACGTTTTAAAAGGCAGTCTTAAAAGAGATTTATGTTCATTTGCTTATATTCTGATGATTTGATTGTAAAATACTGCCTGTATATTATAATTTCTCTTATTTATTTTATACGATTCCTTAGTTACTTGGGTCCGGGGCTCTGGTTTTTCGGCTGCTGATGTGTTGAGAGTTGCTGGGTCACTGGCTGTCATCGTTTGTCGCCTGGAGTGAGCATGGCCCTTTGATCATTAGAACCGTCCTTTGGACGGTTAGGCGGGTTGCGTCTTGTTCACATTTAACACCTTATATACTTCCCCTTTGAAAGGGCGACTGGGATTTAGGGAACCCAGTCGCCAAATCCTGATGATGGAGAATCATCATCCACCACCTTTTAGTTTGAGTGCCATTGTAGACTCATTAGGTTATTTTGAAGCAAGAAACATGAAAAATAAGCAATGCCTTCACCGGGAATGCGCCGAGTGTGCTACTATTAGACCACGAAGACATGCAGAAAGGAGGGAGAAAATACCTTATAAACTTACTTAGCGGCGACCCGAACAAAATCATAAGGTCTATTTTTAGACCAGGTGGATAGAGTCTTATTCCTCTCATTTGTACCTTACAAACCTAATAAAATGGCGTAACTGTATTCTGTTGTCCCTCAAGGTACTCCCCTTGTTATGCTCATAAATACACGCAATTATAAAGATTTCATATTCATGAACACATAATATGGTTGCTGTTGAGGCGACTCCCATGTGGTAAATGGTGTTGGTTGTGTTTGGCTAGGTTAATATTACTTATTGCGTATAGAACTAAAACACTTTTTATTACATATCTATAAGAAGTTCTATTAACTATACAAAAACGACAGTTGATAATAATTAATGAATGCATGAGCAAGATAATATTGTCCTCATTATGTGAGAATATGTCCAGTTGCAAGAGTCTCTAAACAACAGCATAAGAGTGTTCTGATATCTTGCTGCGTCTGAAATTGTCTGCTGACTAAATTAGTTACGCCGTCTTAGATTTCGGTTATATGTTACGTCCTCTCATTCGTTATAGTTGAAGGTGATATCATAGGAGCCATAGGATACAGTTGGCCTTCTGACTTCGAGATGCTTTGATGACAGACACAGTGCAAAAGCTACGCACGCCCTTGACATTGGTCGTGAAATTATGACTCTTGCGATGTCAAGTGGTGGCATTAAGGAACAGGTTATTGGTCTTGCAATGTCAGAGCATGCCGTCTCGTACCTTTTGTAACAGCTTGAAGACTGCGAATTCTGGGGGATTGAACACATGAATTTCTTATCTTTGTGTGGTCTGCCGTACCGACATATAATGTTTTCAAAATTTTCAAACGTGGGAAAATTTTGAAAAATGCGTGCACTTGTGAAAACGTGCATTTAAAATAGTATATGTCACTTTGTTTATAATGTAGAAGTTGAAATTAGTCCTTCCCCTTTTCGAAGCTTATTGCCGATTGTAATGATTAACAGGAAAAGATGTAAGTTGTGCCTTTTAAAACATTAAAATAATATTGCAATTCAAAATGAATCTTTTAAAGGGATTATGAATAACATTAAAAATACTCTTGTATAACCTTGTTTCTCTGTTACTAAATGACAGCGAATTTCAGTAAACAATTTTGTAGATATTATGCCTAAGAGTACTTTACCTATTGCAAAACCAATGCCAGCATTCGCAGGTATAAGTTGTTCAACGGATTTTGCTAGTGGAACCTGAAAAGAAATCAGTTTTAAAAAATGGAGGTGAACATATAAAGCACTTTTTAAGTATTAAATCTCCATATAATCACTTTAGTTATTACTCTAAGAAATTTTGATTAATTAAAAATATTAATTATATATACTCACACATAGTAGACATACGCCGATAACAAGCAATCCTATCATAGCTGCTAACCACCTGATAGAAAAAATATGTGCAATAAAATATCTAGCTTAAAAAAACACAGATTAAATATCGGGCAAACATTGACCTCGATTTGAAAAAAAATTTTGATTTGTGAAGATTATTTAAATAATAGAAGAAATTATATAAACTTGCTGAAGCTAATAAACCTGATAAATGTTTTTTTTTTCAAAATCTATAAACAAATCTTTTCAAAAAACATGTGTACGATTTTAAGCTAACTTGAAACATACTGCACACCTCATTAGTTTAACTTTTAGTCTTTTAAAAATCCGCGAATCTGTTTATCTTAGATTTGTATTTTGTAAAATAAATTTGCTATCGGATGGAAAACGAAAATGTGATATATTCGTGAAACGAGTGCGACAGTATTAGAAGGGTGCTGATCTGAATGACCTCAGGACCGATTAGGTTGGTAGGAGTGACTGGGCCACCAGAATCTTCACCATGGATTGCGCAGGTAACGCCCCAGCACACTCTAACCATCTTTAGGACTAACACCATCATGGGGAAATTAATTAAAATTTCTGAGTTTGAACGGAAGAGGTGATGGGCTATCGTTGGGAATGAGACTTCTTTACTTGCACAGTGCTAGAGTTGGAGGGAACTTTATTTTTGGATTTTTAAACAATGCATCACTACTGTTCACATTCACTATTGTTCACATTTAGAAGAAGTATTATGCAAACTAAAAGTTAAAAATAAACTGAAACTTTTTTTTAGAATTTTTTTTTAAATTATGAAAATGCATACTATTTATTCATATTTTAATGTTTCAAAGTGACTCGTCGAAGGCTAATAAATTAAAACATTAAAGCCTAAATCATTAAGGAGTTTTAAGCTCAGGCTTCGTTCCGTTTGACTTTTCGAGTAAAAACGAAAATATAAAATAAAAAAACACAAAATTCTAAAGAAAAATATTTAGACCCACTCTCAAAGAGTCAAGACGCTAATTTAGTGCTCGAAAAATTAAAATAAAAAAGTTACAAAGGAAAACACTTACTTGCAAAACAAGTTGAACAATTCAAAAAATAAAATTAAAAAAATTCCACATAAAAATATTACGTCAGGGCACAAAAAGAATACAACTGCAAATTTAAATTTATGAAAAGTACCAGAAGTGCTCTATGGCAGGGGTTCCAAATCCTATGCCCGCGGGCACCATGGCGCTCGCAGATCTTTTAACCTGTGCCCGCCGCTGTGCGATCACAATAAAAATATTTTTGTTTTCAAATTCATCGTGGCAAGGAGCGCAATTTTACGCCTATCGTTGGCAACAACCTTGAGCACCTTACAGGTGACAGTGCGATTTAGCTCAGTTTCGCAGCCAATTATGATAGAGGGCACCCCGGGAGGGGGATAGGTCAAAGAGGCTACCACCGCCTCTTTCCCTACCACCAACCTTTCGAGAGGATTTTTGGCTCGCCGCATATTTAGAGTGCCCCCATGCCGCACGGACACTATACATTTACAAATATCCATTCCTTCTCCGGAATTTGAACCCGGGCCATTCAGCACGGCAGTCAGTGACGCTAAACACTATAACAGCCGGGCGGCTTTTTTCATGTGCATGTATTATTAACTCTATCAAAATTTTAATTCACCTTGAAAAAGAAAATGGTGCACGTCGTCCAACAGATATTCTGAAATGTGCTCTTAGGGACAAAAAGTTTGGGGAGCCCTGCTCTATAAGATTAAAGTCAGGAGATCGCTGGCCAGTCCACGTGGCGAATATCCTCACTTTCAGGTAATCGTCGACTAGTTCAGACCTATGTGGACGAACTTTGTCTTCCATTAACAGGAAGTCAGAACAAACTGCGCTCCTGAAAAATCGATGATCATTTATGATCTCTTATTTACGCCTCATAGCACTTCAGAAGTCATGAACAAATGCATAAAGATATTTGCGGTAGTGCAACATAATGACTGTTCAAACTATTACATTTTCAACACCGTAATTAATTTACCTTTCTCTAACGAAGGAGGGATGGTATCGAGTTCCGGGCTCTCTCCAGATATAGGTACGCTGCGAATCAGTATCCAGGCTGTATCTCGATTCGTCTGTAAAAAGCACGGTACTCCATTGAAGTCTGGTCCCAGGTGTTTATTGTTTGCACCATGCTAATGCGCTGTCTTGTGTGCTGAAGTGAACAGGACGCAAACAGCGCATCTTCTGGCATATAGCCCTGTTTCATGAAGCCTTTGGGCAATTGTGGGCGATGAAACTCGAGTTCCCGGTGCAGCATACAGCTCACGTAAGAGTTGTGAAGCTGTAGCAGGTCTGTGTCGCCGCACTGAAAGTGCCATATAACGATCCCATTTCGTCGTTATGGACATCTTTTTCGACCTTGCCTAAGTCTTCTCGATATAGATATGTCCTGAAACTGTTTCCAAAAACTGCAGACGACACTGGCCGTTACATTGAAGTCTATAGCAACCTGCGCTTGTGATTGGTCTGTTTCCAGTGTACCGACAATACTCCATCTTATTCTATCATCCATAGGTTCGTGACAACTCATTTTACATGGTACCTTATGAAATTCACACAAATGTTGCTAGAAACACTGCGAATGTCGTGAAAGAGTAGGAGCGCAGAAATTGTCGAAAACCCTTTGTGCACTGACATCCCTCCACACTCGCAATTCCGCGGACATGAACTTGTACGCTTAATCTTTCGACACTGAATAATTACATAATTCTTCGGCGACATAATTAGCATATTTGGTTAAATATTTTTGTAAATATAGACATAACTTGCAAGCTTTCTTAATTTTGCACACGACTGCATATGTCTTTGTCTCTGGCATTAAAGAGTCTATAGTTTAGTTTTCGATTTTTCTCGGTATCATTCCGCTGCGTTCGTTACGATACCGTTACAATGACAATTATTATTTGTGCGGCCTGGCAAAGCATTGCCATTTCAAGTTGTATAGATTTAATTTATCACTGACCTTGCTTGGCAAATTGCCACATCTCAGAGGTATACCATTAGATGTGGTGTAATTCCTTTTGCTCCCCATATGTTGTATATTTACAGTGCCTTTTTTTCTTTTTTTGAGCACACGTGCATTTGTTGCTGGCAGTAGTGTCTGTAAATCTGTTTGTAATAATCCGTTACAGATTTTGAGATAGTGCAGTTGTAGAGACATCAGATTTTTTTAAAGCTGGAAAGATGAAAAATGAGAAATGCCCTCGCCGGGACTCGAACCACGGACCTCTCGAATACGCGCCATGCTGACCACTACACCACGATGGCATGCTAAGAAGGCGGAAGAAATACCATATACAGTCACCAGAAAGAATTTATCGGCGAGCTATTGCATGATTGCTGCGCGAAATTTATTTTGAGATGAAGCTAGCTGTGTAGAAAAGGCGTTTCCAGTAAGAGTTTGCTGTGCGGAAATAAGCAGGACTCCTTCACGCAAAAGCTTTCTAAAGTGAACTGAAGGCTGTAATGAATAACAGAAGCGTAACGAATGGGTTTGTTAGCTCGCGGCTTGCTCTTTGTTACAAATGTTCGCTAGAATTATAAGAATTTTGCTCAGGACCTCTATTCCCAATCCCATTAAGATCCGAGTCATTTTCGAACTCAGAGATGGAAGTAAAGTGTGCCACATTAACTTCTGCAGGCAGGTCTTAGAAGTTTTGGTGATGATGCAGGGATATTTGATGTATTAATAATGTTTAATGAGGCACATTTCACCTTTGAAAATTTGTCAATAAGCTGAATTTCTGGTATTGGAACAATGCAAAGCCAACTCAGTTACCAGAAAAATCGCTTCACGTAGAAAGAAACAGCGTGGTATGTTTGTGTTTACATTTGAAGTCCCCAATCTTTACTATTTTGAGAAAAACTGCCAGGCTGTCACCGTAAATGTACTGCGATACTGCAAAATGCTTGTCTCATTCTTTCGAACATTAGATTCGAACACTAGAATACCAAAGAACACTAGAAGATAGATTACTGATGCCATTATTTGGTTTCAACCAGTGTTAGATCAAGTCAGTGGCGGCCCCTAGATAAAATTTAAGCCGGAACCCCATTTATATAAGTTGCTCGTAATTAAATCTGAAATGATGCCATTTAAAATTTATTATTAATAAGTAAGAATACTAATACACTAATAATTTTAAAATAAAATATTTTCTAGCGTAACGGTAATACATAAAAATATGTATAATTATAATCATTAATCAGGTTAAAAATATAAATTTTTCGTTTTCGGATTTTTATTTCATAAAATTGATTAACAATAGCTCCGCAATCTAATTGCTCAAAATTTCCTTTTTATGTACACCCTTTTTATGTATCCCACACATTCGTGTGGGATAGCATCATTTTGTTGAAATCATCTGTTCAAGGACAGATGAGCACCATTCTGTTCAAGGGGAAGCAGAAGAATCTTCAAGTATGCTCTCCGCTCTTTTGGCTTCGTGAATTTGGGACACTGGCCAGTTCTAGCTACTAGCCTAACGGCTTCAGACCTCGTTTTAGGAAGACTCGTATGCTATATCTCTGTATCCGGAAATTTGGCATTGTGCGTAAAGTTAAGGCCTCATTCAATTGAAACATTTAGTGATCGTTAGTCGTCATACGTCATCAGTTGCGACTGATTTTGCTGTTTTGGTATTCAATTGAAACGCAACGATCACTCTGAGCTCGCGATCGCTCGTTCTCATAGCGATCACTTGGAACCCATCATTCCTCGGCGAAAAACGATCGAATCAATATGGCGGCTGTGTTGTTTGTGCTTTCACGAGGACAGAAATCAAGTGTGCTAAAGAAAATGCTTTAGATCTGCTGAGTGATCATCAACTTATATATCAAAGTATAGGGTGTATAAGGATCCTAGCAAGGGCAGCCGACACATCATCTGTGTTGTATCCAAATTAAGTGCACTTGTTGCTAGTGGACATTGATTTAGCGTTGTGTTGTTTACATTTGTGTTGATGGATTGCTACCTAATTCAGAGAAATATGCGTGGATGCACTGCATCAAATTATTCATATCGTTCCAGAAATAACTTTAGTACGTTCATTTCCCGAGAAATGAAGAAATACGAAGAAAATGGGTAATTAATTCTTGTCCATTGGAATAGATTCCGATATCAAGACCGTGCGCTTTTGAAGTAAGTTCAGCTTCGTATGTTTTCATAATTGTTAAAAAAATAAGTGTTCATGTTTCAGCGAAATGTGTATTATCATTTAAGTATTGCTAATTAATGACAAACTGATTTTATATTTACAAAATGAATATCAGAATGTGTATAGTCAATACACAGATACCGACGGCGATAAGTAGATGCTGATGTGATTTTCTTTATTGTTATTATCGCGAAAGGACAAAGTTTAAATAACTATATTATGCATTTGATTTCAATTTTGTGCGTGATTATAACTACGAAGTGCACTTTTTATTTAAATTTTAATGCGGGATTCATGGTTTGAAATCGTATGTTATTTTTTGATCTTCTTATATTGTCGCCAAATCTGTCAGTCGGCCTCTAATGTAAAAAATAAATAAATAAATAAAATGTAAACATTGGATAATATGATTGAAATTATGCATTATATTATGTTTCCCTTAAAGTAACATTAATATATCGTATTTATATTCATTTTGAAGAAGGTAAGCATCAATTTAGGTATTTAACGAATAATTTTTGACTGTATTTTATACATCATGTAGACTGTATTTCCAGCTGTTTCATTTAACTGCGATTGCTGTCAATTTATTTCCAATGTATCAACATAAAATAGTTTTTAAAATGCTGTAAAGCTTAGTCAGTGATTCTTAATTTAATTCAGACAATTTTTATGTGTAATTAAAATAATTTAATAATATATGTTACTGTAATTTACTATTTTTTGATTTTAATGTTTTAGAAATTTGCTAAATCAAGTTTATTTTTGTGTGACCTTGCATCAGAGGCGCCCAATGAATAAATCTGTTTTGGCTTTCACTGCTAAAGAATTTAATGAAAATCTTATTACTGATTGTAAAAGAATGAAAAAATGATATTTACTTCCTAATCAGTGCCTTATGATATTGCAGTAACTTAAAAGGCTTCTTACTCTTTCTTAAGGTTGCATAACGTTGCTTTCATAACTTCTTGTCATCTTTATGTTTTATTCGTCTATGTTATCAAATAAATATAAAAGGTATGTTTCTAATTAAAATTCTTCCTCTTCATAGCAGTGTTATGTACCATGATGTGATATGTGTTGGCGTTTATTATATAGTTATGAACATTATTCATTATAAAGTTGTATGTATTTATTAAGTATATGTAATTTACATCATTGTGTATTATATAATTTTCCTTTTAGAATATATTACATTGTATTTTTTGAGTTGTTAATAGAACTAGGTACATTTTTCTTTTCTTTTGCTTTAAAAGGTCTTTTGAATCACTTTTTTTTTCAGTATGCAAAAATTACTTGACCTATATTTTTCACATGTATATGATTTATGTGAATGGAATGTGTCTTTTAGGTTAGCTGTTTTCATAAAAGAATTAAAATAAAATAATACCTTTGAAGAATTTTCATAGATAAAACTTTGAAACAATAGCGCTGAAAAGCCAAAGATGGCACACCAAACGTGAACTGCAACCCTAAAGAATGGTTACGAGAAGTCAACCTGCACATCTGGTAGCTCTTTCATTGGTTATTTCGAAACAAACGCAACTTCCGACCACGTGACAAACAGCACCGCGCATCAAGTAACCTCTGGCAACCCCTACGAGTTCGACTGGTAGGGAAGTGTTTCAAATGAATACGAAAAATCACTCGTTTTCAAAAGTGATCGCTAATGCTGGATACAACGATCGCTGTTTGAGCGATCATCGCTGTTTCAATTGAATGAGGCCTTTAGTCAAATTGATATCAATCTATTGCAGGATCTTATGCGAAACTTTCATGCCAGATTAAAAGATTACATTAATTGCAATGGAAATCACGTATTCAAGCAATTTTTAAGTTGGGACTATGTTTAAATAATATGCAGTAAATCCTCTTCTTATTCCTAACAGCTATCGTACAGATTTCTCTCCCAATCCTGCATGATATTGTGATAAAAACCGTTAAATCTTCAAACTCGCCTGCTAGTCTTACTTATGCCAAAACTCTTTTTAAAATACGCATGAAGTTAAAAGGTTTTAGATTGTTTTTACCTTCCCATTTTATGCCCGAGGGGTCCAAATACGTTAGTTCCGATGAGATAAGATATACTAGCAGGCAAAAAAGCTGCTCCTTGTTGCCACTTAGTAGCATCCATTGTGTCCATCATCCACAAAGGAAGCGAAGGCTCCAAAACCGCTATTCCAATATTAGAGAACGTGATTGCTCCTGTAATAAATACAGAATAATTTTTCTTAATATATTGGCGTTATATATTGAACAATGGAAATATACATCAGTATAATTCAGTAAAGCGCATAATAGACGCTTTCCAAACGAACGAAGAACACATACAAGAAAATAATATTATCATTAAATTTATAAGAGTCTTCGCCTTCACAACGGAAAGCTAAATTTACATACTTAGTTTAGACTTATCATTCATCGTAATACCTTCATTCATCACGCGATTATTATTAAGTTATAAGATTAGAGATTCTTACTGAGCATTCTTCTTTGGAACATTTTATCTGAACTTGATATTCTATTAGAATCTATATAGCTCTCAGAGATTCGGCATCTACTTCAAACTATAAGAACTAATGAAATAATCCTCTGAATAAGAGGTAAAATAACTCAAGGGAAATTTTTACAGACTTTTAAATTTGGAGCATTTTAGGCCTTAGGGAATCTGAAAGATTTTAAAATCTTAGCGGAGCCATGTACATCAGATGTTGTAACATTAATTCATGATACATTATTATGGTGCTGAAATTATAGCCTTTATAATTAATGATAGCTGCTTATATTATTTATATATTAAATGGAAAATATTTTTAGATGCACGTGTTTATTCTAGCGAACTGATTAATCTATGTTTTTATGTGGTTCTTCTTCCAGTAGAAGATATTAGACGTACTACAAGTCAATAATACAGAAAGAGAAAACTGCAAAGTTTTCAAAGGTTTGATGTGAGAAATTTTGTGTAATTGTTTTACTTATATTAAATAGTAGGGACAATAGTTTGTCTGGAGCAGGAAACTGAAAAACCACCTATGCTTTTCTGAGATTCGAGCCGCGGGTTTCCCAGCAACAGCGAATCTGCTATCACGTACATCATAGTAAAACTTATGGGGAAATGCATCATATTCTCCCTCTTAAAGGGTCAATAAAGAGAAGCAATGTGACGCAATCGACCAAGCCAAATGGTGATGAACTATCTTCCACCACATATTAGTTCTGGGTTATTGTTTCTGAGATAGTAACATGAAAAATAACCTATACCCTTGCGAAAATTCTATGCACAGATTTTCCAGCACTAGTTGGATGCACTAACATTTACAACAAGTAAGCACGTGCTAGAAAATGAGATAACTCCTCATAAAGTAAGCCTTAAATGTCTAAGTAACTTTTTTCGCAGAGAAAATTGGAATATGAAGTGGGAAAGAATGGTTTTCTCTCTGTATAAAGAAAGGAACTTACAGATCTAAAAAAGAGAATTAGAGAATTTAGAAAAAATTTAAAGATTTAATTCTTAGCAGTTTTTCCTTAAATCTTTATAAGTTTATTTGATTTCTGGTTGAACTATCCTGTCCTAGATTCAAACAAAAAGAACAGACGAATATGGATTGCCCAGACGAAAAAGTATACAGTGGAAGACTTCAAATTGTTCTCAAAATTTTATGCCACATATGCTGATGAGTACACCAAATACCGAATGGGCCAACTTTTGATCAAGTGGTTACGACCGGGAATCACATTAGATTTTATTCCTAGACAAGGATTCAGGATTTTATTCCTGAACAAGACGACTGTATAAAGTTGTATAGTTTTACCCATGTGTAACTTAAGCATGGAAGAGTAAAAAATCTGAGAGATGTTTGCATTACCCACTGATGACTTTCAAATTTTACTAGACATTTTATACAGTGTATTTCTTAGGATGAAACGAGCGTATGATTCGAAAGGGAAAAATATAGAAAATTAGTTTCAGCTGTTTCTCTTTCGAAATCTGAAATCCAACACCAAACTAACTATTATGACTTTATGATTTTACGAATTTCTCATGAAATTATAGCTAAAACCGAAGAACAAGTTAACGGAATTATCCTAAGTTTTTAACAGTTATCTTTAGTTAAAGCTACTTTCCTGTCCCTCCTAATTTCAGCTTACAATTTCCTAACAGAATGTGTTTTTAGAATCGCGTTTAATGTAAATGAGTAAGAGCGGTATTTAAGTCGAACTGACTTCGTTAGAGAGCCAGAGATTCTGACTAGCGCGTGTTCGCCTTTTCGCTACACTCTCTCTAAGCTATTACTAGGCTCGACCGTATCTCAGGCCCTTGATAGCTTCGCCAACTTAGTTGATATTCAGGGGCCAACTACCTAGAAACCTTGATAGCTTTGGCTATATCGTTTACTTAAGCTTTAGTTAAGTTTCATTTCTTATTACTTTGAGTTCAAGCCCAAGTGGAGGCTTTACTGTACGTCCTGAGAGAGGCTTTACTGTACGTTCATCTATTAAATTCTTATTTTGAGAAATAAAGGGTAATTAACCCTTCTTGAGTTTTACGTTTCTGTTTTCTGAACTAAAGCGATTATTCGTTTACCTGTTCACGATGTTTCTACACTTAGAACCTCACAAGTTTTATATTCGGTTAATTTAATAAAAAAAAATTTCTTTCCTGTATTGAGAAATTGCTGCGTTATTCAGATTTAAAAGTTCATTGCTTAAAAATTTTGATAAGTTACCTTCGTTAATTTAAATTTTTATTTAGTAACTTATTTGATAACATAAATTTTTCCTTTACATTTTCGAGATATAGAAAAGGCATTAAATGTAAAATTATTAGAAGATAAAATTATTTTACTTGCGTTAGAAGGTTTTGCTCTTCTAGTCCAGATACAAATATATTTATGAAAAACATACTTTTTTGCCTTTTTAAACTTATAAATTACGAACTAGGAAGTTTATTCAAATTAAAAATATCTTACCGGCTGCAACCATAATGTAAGGATCCTTCAGTAATGAAAAAAGAGGAGTGTCTTCTTGTTTCTGCTTCTTTACTTTTGGCTGAAGGACTAAAAGCTGCAAAACTGTATGCGAAGAAAACTATTATATTTCTAGCTAACTTATATTCCTGTATTATAAAAAATATAATTAGTTACGTTCTCTGTTTGCAACTGCATTTGGCTTAGCATAATGAACAATGGTGCTTATCTTACTCTGTTCTATAGTTATAAATATAATATAAATATTTAAAGCCTTCCAGATGAAAGAATCTATTTTAATTACACTGAACGGTTAACGCTATCTTTTTTAAGCATGGGTTGATTACCAAAAGCGCACATTTTTAAAATTACTTCTGGGTATACACTGCGTCAGTTCTGTCTCGAAACCAGTAGAGCTTGATTTAAAATCTACGACGAACTAAGGTCTTTTTTGTCTATTTATAAATCTATGAAAATTTTCAACAGCACTTATTTCAAAGATTCTTTAAAAAAGAGAGATCCCGTTCTGAAAGTATTCAGTAATGTTGTTCTATAAATTATAAGACGGTTTCAAAAAGAATTTTCAAAGGACTGCAAATACGAATGAACGCGAAAATAAATACGTAATAAAAAAAAAGCAAATAAAATAATAAGATTATTATATAAAAATAGTATTTTGCAAGATTTAATAACGTGTCAAACGTATTTTCGTAAGGTAATACAAGAGAAAAACATAAGATGTAGAAAAGGCAGTTACAAAATACTACCGAAATAAACATAAATTACTTCGTATAAATTTGATAGACAGGTTCTAATAAATAGTTTATTTAGTTTTAGCACAACCATTTAGTTTTTGTGTTCATTTATAGATGTTAACTAGTAGCGATTTAACGTATTTCTATAAGTGTAACAAAAAATCTTGTCTCATTATTCAGTTATAATTTTCAGTAACTTAGGTTTCGAAAACTATTCTCAGTTTTGATAAATAGCTTTTTATAGGATATCCTGTAGGTGTTTCATGGGGCCTAGCTCATCAAGGAAGCGTGAAAAGTTTCAATATTTTGTTGCCTATAAGATTGTTTTGTATGATTTCAAATGGAAATGGATGTATTGTCAAGTTGAGGTATGCATTTTACTCCACACATCATTCCACTGTATAAACTAAATTATTCTAGGAATTCTGGCTAGGCATTTGAATCATGTGGTAGCAACAATTGATATAAATATTTTCTTGCCTTTTCCCACAAAACACGGAAAATATTGCAGAGCATGCGCCTATTTAATTGCTTTCTATATGACATTGCTTTCTAACAAAAAGCCCATATTAATGAAAACTATCCAGTCATCCAGATTAAATATTTCTCATCAGAAATTGATACTTCAGTGTCATCTATGGAACAGGAATTTTCTAACAAATGTTACATAAATCGCACTTACACATCAATATCAGAGGAAATTTTTCTTTTTCTTTTTATCAGTTTCGCGAATTTGATGAACAAACTGTTGTTCAAACATCAGAGACTACTGGATCGGAGCATTTTAATCTCAAGCTAGTTTTCATCTTCTCATTCGACACCCTGTTCTGGGTAGTAAATGAACGTACCATATAACACTTCGCTTTTTCAGATATGCACGGAGACCATCTTAGATGTCTTGCTACTTGATTATTCCACGCTATATGACAATTTAATTGAGCTATAGCAATCATGGGCTTAAACTTTTCTAATTTGGCAAAGTTCATTTTCTCTCAACTCTCTTCTACATATGGAATGTTTTTCTATTCATCAAAAGTTTCTCAATTAGAATTTCAAGCCACTGCTTTATATGTTAAGAATGCCTTGCGGAATTCTCCCCCTTTCGGCCCTGTTGCTGGAATTTGTCTTCTTTATATTCCAAACATTGGAGCATTCAAAACTCCCTGCACATTCCGCAAAATGTCCACAGTAGTCGATTGTGGGCTGCTACCGCTTCTCTTCATGTGCGTCCATCTGAGCGTTCTGTAATATGTTCAGATAGACCTGGTCTTTCTCGATTATTTATATTTCCTTCATCGATCCATCTAGACCAGGGTTTCTCAACTGGTGGTACACGTACCACTGGTGGTAAGCAAGAGAAAAATAGGTGGTACGGAAGAAGCAAAGTATTTTTAACTATTAAATTCAAGAATTAAAACCCCAACATCCTGATTGCGTTTTTTTTTTTTTTTTTTTTTGAGTAAATTTATTAGAACTGATGTTTGTTCAAGAGTGGTGGTGGTAGTAGTACTTTATAGTGGTGGTACTAAAGGCTTCCAATTTTTGTTTAGATGGTACGCGTTAGTCAAAAGGTTGAGAAACGCTGATCTAGACCAAATTTTATGCACAGAGGATACATCTACGTACGTTTCAACAGCGATACGAGGGCAAGATCAACTAGCTATGAGTACAGTTTGATCCTACAGTAGCTTACAGTTTGATCTCTCTTAAAATCGTTGGTTTGTGGGAACTGTTACGGTGTCGTCGTCCAGGCATCTCTTCATTCAGATGGAACGTTGAACTTCTCGAAATTCTGGATTCTCTAAGCAGCAGAGAGTAGCGACTGTTGGTTCGTCGCAGATCGCTTCTTTGCAAACACGTTACGTAAAAGAATTTTAACCAGTTTCTTTTAATATGCCGGAGGCCAACTGCGTTGATTAAAATAAAATAAAGGTGCATGAGCACAGACACCCGCAAGCGGATCTATGAGGTGAAAAGTCATGACGGAAGGTATCGTAACTTGAGACCAATTAAATTGCCATGTGAAACAATTCATGTCGAGTCGGTCGAAGCTGTAGGTGCATGGCAGCTTGATGATAGTAATCAATTAGCAATTATATTAATTTTATTATGAAGTACATAGCAATTGAGAAGTACACGACATGACTTGGAGCTGACTGAACTTAAGCAGCAATAACGTGAGAGTACAGTATTTTTCCACATGACGCACACGAGTGTACTGATTGGTCAGACACTGACTGTCGATGCAATGATGAAAAAACACTTTTCTTAATTAATTTAAGATAAGTACTCACATAATTAAAATAGTTGATAATTGTGGCACGTTCATTAATTTTGCATTTTTAAATTGTATAATACACTCATTTTGTGCACTTTGATAATTTTCTTAGGTAATTGTATGCATCAAATATGAAATGAATTATTTGAAAACATTAACTCTAGAATGTTTCTACATAAAAGCATAAATCAAAGTATAGTACCACTGCGAAACTGCACCGAAGTTTTAAACAGTAAGACGTATTTTATAGTACACAAATATATAAAAAATTGCAGAAAATAATTTATTTAAGTTTTTAATTCATTTCTTATAGTGCTTTCTGTTATATTTAGTGGAAGTTATTTGAAGTAAAAAAAATCGAACCTAAAAGGAGAAGGTGGTTATCTGGAGAAAGACATAGCACTTAAATTAAAAATGTCTACTGCTTATGAATGGAAGATGCATGTTATTCAAATGAAATATTTCATATGCTACTGATTGAAATCTCCAGGAAGCGATAACAAATTTGAATGTCATGTTTATAAAAGGTGCACAGTTTCTGAAATTTATGTATTTAATTACACTGTTAAATGTTTCACATAATAGATAAATTGAAAAATGTCGAAAAATTAATTTAGTGTTGATGATGTTGAAAATATAGAATATTTTGTTTATGTCTAAAATGCATATGTTTCTTTTTTTGTTAAAGCTAGCTGAAGCGCATATATATCCTTTCATTAATTCTGGTTAAAATGCAATTTGCGGTAATAATTTTTATGTTTAGTAAAAGGTTTATAATTTCTGAATGATATGAATTAAAAATGGATGTCTTCTCTATACTTACATCCATCAACAAGAGCCAGGGAAGCTAAAATTAGAAAAGGAGCCGCTTTTCCCACAAATTCGTAAAGTGTTCCTCCAAATACAGGTCCTATGAGCACACCAAGTGCTAGTCCTCCTAAAGCAATAGCCATGGCATTTCCACGCTCAGCATCATCGGGGTATTTTTCTGCTAGCATGCCCATTCCTGCAATGATATATATATATATATATATTAATGTAAATCGGCAAAAATTTGATTAGTCTTCCTTTCAGAGCATGTTTTGCAACAATGCTTAGTAGCTTACCTTTTAGTCAAAAATTCATTCGCTAAACTTACTTTTAATTGTAGATTAATCAAAAATATCTCTAAAAGACTACCGTGAAATATCTGGAAGAACTCTACTGGAAGAACTAGGGAGAACTAGGGAGCAGGCAGGATTAGGAGAACCAGTTCGAATCAACTGAGGTGAATAAATGAATGCGAGGATCTGAGTTCACGAAGGACTGCTTTATCCTTTTCCCGGGGGCTGGGACATATATGTCCCGTACATTCACTACTTTAAATGTGTCTCAAGAAATTTCAGTAAACTATGGAGATTTAAAATTTACTCCTTAATATGGATTAGGAAGTGCAATACCCTGTCGATTTGTTTTTCTGTTCCTTTCAGTTAAAATAAGAGATTACATGGCCAAACTACATTCGAAATTGAACCCTATAGCCCACGGGAAAAGGTTATCAGACAGAATGGTCCAGAAAAAAGATTAGAACTGCAATAGATTCAAAAGCGATAGCGGAAAAGTTCAAAAACGCTTTCTGAAAATGCAATTAAGTTTATCTGTGTCGTTAGTAAGTTTATTGCTGTCATCTCGCCATTGTCTTTGTTGAAACATCCAAAACTGCAAAGCAGACTAAGACTAATATTCCAAAAGTTCCCTCATTTAAATATTTAAGAACTAAATTTAATATTTTATCGAACGATAATAGTGTTATTAATTAAAAGTTAAACCAAGAAGAAAAAGTCGTGCAGCCTCAGCCGACACTTAAACCTATTACGGCTGTTCTATCCACAATGGTAAACCTCAGCTAAATCCTTCGGACTTTCTACAATACATGGTTCAAAATACGTCTGTCAGATTTATGGGCAAACTCAACGGAGAGTACCTTAATATCTTACCCCACTCTAATGATGATCACAGGACGCTAAGTACCTTCTTCAAAGCTAACTGCATTATGTCAGCAACGCTAAATAGGCACGACCCATTAACATCGCAATTAAGAGTTACGAAAACTGATGCATCCAAGAGAGTCAGTGCTGTCACTGAACGCAGTTTCGCGATCAGTAGTGCCACTCAACTGACAAGGAGACGTACAAAGACTTCATGCGTCTATTTCTGAAAATTTATGAATTGCATATTCGCATGTACTTCACGATCTCAGTCGAGAAGTACATTTCTGTCAGAAGTGTTACATTTCTTCGAAAACTACTACTTCCAGCCGAGATGCGTGTAATGCTCTCTGCCTCATAAAACGACCAACTGTCCTCACTAGGGACGGCTAGAAACCCCTAAGTTTACAAAGTGTCTAGATGTTCGCTCAGCCAGTTACAAAGGTTGGCCTAAATTTCCAAAACATAGGTCTCCACAGCAGAAAGAAAACTTAATAGATCTTGGAGCGTGTAAACATTTGGCCATAAATGAAAATTTTAATGTCAAACATCATTCGCTACAGTCGGCTAAGGCTACACAAACTAAAGTTAAGATGTCAAAATATTCTACTGATAATGTTTGCCATAGCAGTAACGTAATAATAATGTCTTTGAAATTTTTAATATTCTAAAATTTGCTAAAGACGGTAATGATATCAGGTTCAATGTTCCTTCTCACCTTCTTCGGGAACATGCAAGGACCTGACTCGGAACAGAGAGCTTACTAAAGCTATGTTCAAAACTGTGGGAAGTAGACAGGATACACAAGAAGGGTATACAAAACCCTTTATTTTTCTCTATTTACAATGACTTCCGTACTTCGGAATACACCGACCCGCTACTTGGGGTCAAAACGTAAAAGTATAAAAATAAAACTAAACTCTAATTTAACTTTAGAATAATAAACGTGGAAGATTGGCCTTATAATAACAGGAAGCGTATGTAGTACAGAGAACTATGAACACTACAATACGTTTAAATTTATCAAGAGGATTAAAACCTCTGGCCTGGAAGGCAAACAGCAACTGCGTAACTTCTAAGGTAAGCGGCCTGCTTCGACTCACTGCTTCCTCTCTCTCGCTTGGCAAAAAGCCACAACTTAAATACTTGGCGTTCGCCAGACAAACTTTGCATAAAAACCTTAACGCTTATAATTCTGGCCGGAAGTAGAAAATAAGAAGTGATAGTAAAGATTTAAAATAAAACAAACGTTAGTAAAACTTAAGATCCTTACATACTTCCCGCCAGAGTTTAATTAGTTTGAAACTGAGGTCTAAAAACGACCTTGTTGAAAACTTTTAGCTCTAGAATCTAACGCGAGGCCAATCTTTTACAAATATTTTCGCTAGAAACTAGAAATTTGTTTTTACAATAGCAGCTCCCAGGATACACATTTTTTTTTCTCATCTGTAAACAGGAGCTCTTATTCAAATCTGGTTCCTTCCAGAGATCTGGAAGGAAAACTAGTTTAATGAAATGTTACACAATGAAATGGCAAGTAACATGTATAATTATATTTTACTTAACATTCTTATTTCATTCATGACTATTTTAATTATCTCTCCCCGTGCTCTCTGACATGTGTTGTAAAAGAACACCAAACACGAATGTTTGCCATAGCAGTACTTATAGTAATGTTTAATGTAATAGTAATGTTTGCCATAGCATTCGTGCCATAGCACGAATGTTTCTGTGTACGTGTTCCACATTTCCTCCTACAATCGAAACACTAACGTGTTAAAATTCAACATAACAAGACCTCTTAACACACCCTAATTTCAACTCTAAACCCTGAGGTACTATTCTGAAAGTGTCTAACTCTGAAGTGTAGCGTCAGAGAGCCTAACTACATCATTCAACTTTAACACATATTCACCATCATTTATTCTTTTTACAGTCACACGAATAAAAAAATTTTAACATTCACTTTTACCATATCACGGTATTTCTTAACATTTAAAATAACATTTCACATTGTATATAAGAACATATCAACATGCCGTTAATTTTACACATTTGAAAACATATATTAGTAGTACATTGTTAACTTCTATTCTTTTCAAAGCAAGTGCCAATTCTTTCTACATTGAAATAATACATTTCAAAAAGTCTTTGAGACTAAAACTTCTTTCTTGCTAGAATGTTTTAAATAAAATTTATATAATAACTTTTTACAATATTTAAGTCTTTACACAACGCTATTATACATCAACTTTAGTTTTACGCGCGAGTAATTGAAAAACATAATACCAAAATCGGTAACAACTCATTTCTCGCCCTTTTGGCGATAAAGGTAGACCTCGCATGAGGTAAAACTTCTTGAAATCTGCCACTTGCAGTAAGAATGAAAGATTAACTTAAGTTTGCAAAGTAACATAAAATTTTACTTTCTTTGTGATATTCGGACTCCTTTCTGGGCCCAGTCCTTAAAGTATTGCAGATAGTTTGTTTGATTTATCCTCCTTCTTACGGGCTCGCCCTTCAGTGCCTTCGGCTCTGAAGCTTCCTTTTTTTCACCAGTTCGGTCACCCTTGAATACCTCTGCTCCTTGTGGTCTTGGCCGTTTGATGGCAGCTGGTTTGGCGGAACCGGGAAACTTCTGTCGTCTTCCTGCTTGGACCTCGCTGCTGGCCGTTCAAATTTCCTCCTTTTTCCTCCGCCGCTGATGGCCCTTCCGCAGTTCGGCGACATTTGCTGCGAAGAGTCCTGTCGGATGAGTAGATCTTCCGTTTAGAGCCGGGTTTAGTTCCCGTCATTTCTCCTGGTTCTCTTCACATACGTCGTCCTTCTCCCTTCTCATTCTGGGGGTGTTCGTGACTCTCTTTTCTGGACGGTGGAACGGCTTCTTTTTCTTGCTACCTTCAATTTTTCCGCGGGGAATTTTCTTTTTCACTTGCTCCTGCCTCTAATGGCTTGCCCTTGTACTTGTCATTTTTCCACCTCTGGAGCTTGTGCCTGCGGTGTCTGCCCGTGCCGGATCCTGCAAAAGATCTGAAAATATTTGCATTTTATTACGATCAAAGTAGGGTTTGATTTGATCAATGTTTGCGGGAGCAGGTTTCACCATTTCTGCTTTTAACACTACTACAGCGTGAGTTATTTTGTCTATAAACATATGATCCTTCAAATCGTGGAAAAATTTGGCAGTTTTCTCTTCTGGTGCTGAAGAAAGTGAATGCTTAATTTTTAAAACTTCATCCCTCCCCTACTTTTATAAGTTACTCCCCGTCGTTTCAAATCATAATAGAGCTTCTGTTTTCTTTGTGCACTTCCGTATTCTTGTTTCTTCTTTATTAGTTTTTCTATATCACCCATTTTAATTCTGGGCTCTTTGTGCACATAAAATAGTTTATCTAACGGTGTTATAATCTTTCTGCCTAGAAATAACTCAGCAGGAGTTTTGCCCGTTGTATCATGTTTTGCGGTCCTAAGGGCGAAAGCAAATTCATTGACATAGTTATCCCAGCTTTTATGAAAATTTTTAACATAACTACGGATAATTTTCACTATATTTCTGTTGACCCGTTCCGCTATATTTGATTGCGGCCGATACGGGACCATTTTTAAATGACGTATGCCCAGTTTTTGGCACATGTCTTCAAATATATTACTTCAAATTGAGGACCATTATCGGATATAACTTTTAGGGGCGCCCTGTATTTTAAAATATTTATTTAAAATAGAATCAGTAACTAATTCTCGGAGGCCTCGTTTTAAGGGAACAATTTCGGTCCATTTACTAAAATGATCAACCATAACAAGGAGATAGCGACTTTTTATTTAACTGACTTTTGGGAAAGGGCCCAATAAATCGATGCCATTTATTTCATTTGGAAATTCGGATTTAATACTATTTAGAAAACCGGCCGGGCGGAATTAATATAATAACTGCTTGACATGTTGGGCAGGACTGGACATACGCCCTTGTTAACTTTTGCAGTTCAGGAAAGTAGACTGCCTCGCGTACGCGTTGGATATTTTTTTGAATACCAGCATGAGA